CGTTCCGAGGCTCCGACCACTCTTGGATGGACGCATCCGTAGTGACGCGGGTAGGCAAAAGCGGATCGTATATGCGCAAGACCTCCGCAGATAATTGCGCGGCTTCGAGAGCCAAAGATGATTCTCGCACCTCCTCTCCGAAGTCAAACGGCCGATCCTCGCATTGAAGCGTGGTCAAGTGGGCCGCGATCTTCCAGTAGCCTTTGATGAAACGTTGATAGCAGCCGGCGAGGCCAAGGAACGAACGGACATCCGTGACGTTCCGAGGCTCCGACCACTCTTGGATGGCTTGAATCTTGTCCGATAACGGACTGATGCCCTCCGGTGTCACAAAATGGCCCAAGTATTCCAGCTCTTGCCGGACAAATTCGCAGTTGTCGTTGTTGGCCTTGTACTTGGCTTGGCGGAGCGTCTCCAACACTCGTCGAAGATGCCCAAGATGATCCTCCAATGTCCGGCTATAGACGAGAATATCGTCTAAGTAGACCAGCACGAACCGGTCCAACATTGCACGAAACTCGTTGGTCATTGCCACTTGAAAGTTCGTCGGGGCGTTGGTGAGGCCAAAAGGCATGACCACCCACTCAAAATACCCGTACCGCGTCTTGAACGCGGATTTGTAGCAATAATTCGGCCGCATCGAGATTTGATGATATCCCGATTTCAAATCCAACTTAGAAAAATACTTTGCGCCGCCCAATCGCTCAAGAAGATCGTCGATGCGAGGAAGAGGCCCCTCATTCTTGACGGTTTGCGCGTTGAGCTTGCGGTAGTCGATACACAATCTTAGATCCTTGTTCTTCTTCCTGACGAAGAGAACTGGTGCTCCATATGGGGAGCTACTAGGGCGGATCCAGCCCTTGGCCAACAAGTCGTTGAGTTGTGCGCAGAGGACCTCAAGCTCCTCCTCGCTCATCCGATAGATGCAACCTTTCAGCGACACGACACTGGCCTCAAGAATGATCTCGTGAGAGGTCGACTGATCCGACACCACACCGGTAGGTGACTCGAAGATGTCGGCGAACTTGTCCAGCAACCGCACCACCCGGGGGTCCGAAGACAAGACCGCGGGTGAAGAGTCGGCTACTGCGGCGGTCCGTAGGAAACATAGGCCGATTTCCTTGGGCTGCTCGTAAGCGCAAGTTGCCCGGAATGATTTGGCCGTCACCACTTGGCACTGAAGCGAAGGGTGCGGAAGAGGAATAGTACACGCCACTTCCGCGCCGAAGGCGTCGTGAACGCTAAGAGTCCGCCGGTGGAAGTCGACCGTGTGATCCGCACTTGCAAGCCAAGGCATTCCGACAATGATGTCGAAGTCCGTGTCGAGAATGTCGAACGTCACCGGTTGGCATGCATGAGGTGCGAAGTACACCGGTATGGCCTCGATGTAGCGGTCGATAAGTTGTTGCGTCCTTCTGTCCACCAACTTGATCGCCGTCGGGTTTGCCTTCCTTCGAACTTGTGCACCAAGGCCAGCCCTTTGCATAAAGGCTTGGCTCATGAAGTTGCGAGACGCGCCGCTATCCAGCAAAGCGCTGCAGGACGCTTGCCCAACTTGGATGCGGACATACATGAGCGGTGCGTTGTCATCGTACCGCTGATTGCGAAACTCGCGGGCCACCTTGGTATCATACGCAAGGATGTCCCCCACCGCGACTTCGTCATCCGTCGGCGAAGTTGGTGGTGCATAGAAAGGTAAGTACGTGTGGAGATGAGCGCATAGTGCTGGAGGCGGCCAATGGTCGGGACAGGAAGCCATGCGAAGTCCTCGGACGTGAGCGGGTCCAATACCTCTATGTTGAACTCGCGCGCCGAATCCCGTGAAGAAACACTTGAAGACGATAAGTCGCCGCTGCCAGATGGAGAAGATGCGGCACACACATCTGGTCCTTGAGCTTGAGTACCCAGCGTAGGAACGAGTCGGGCAGCATAGTCCTCAAAAGAAAATAGAAGAGGAGGACTATCGACTTCCGCATGCGCCTTGGAATGAAGGTCGGTCACTCGCGAAGAGATCGGTTCCGGAGGCGTCGAGAGTGTCGTCGAGTCACTCTCGGCAGTGCTCAGTTTCCCTGTTTGCCCTTGCCTTTCAATGGGCAGGCCAGTGTCTCATGGAGATCGTTGTTGCACCATAGGCAATAGTGGAATCTCGTGCGCGCCTTGAATGCTTGCTCGGAGATGCCGTATTGGGACCATGGGGCTGAAGATGCTGCGTCGGGCCCAGGGCTAGATGCGGTGTTTCTCTTCGTCTTGCCTCGTCCTCGGCCTTTGCCGGGGCGGCCACCTTCCCAAGCGGCTGCGAGTCTGTCCCCTTCATTGGCAGACACGACCTCGCTAGATTGGTCAAACGGCGTTGCTGCCACGACCACGGCCACTCTTGGCCGATTCTGGTCTCTGCTCGGGCCTGGCGCTGACGAACGCAGGTTCTTAGCCTCCTTGTTCGTGATGATAATCTGTGCGGCCTTGTCAAAGAGTTACGCCGTTGTCGTCAAGATGTCCTCGACGTGAGTCAGGGCATTGCTTAATGTCGAACATGACCTCGAGATGAAGTAGTGGCGGATGACTTTGAAGCCCGTCTGGATGTCTAGGACTGATGTCAAGCGTTGGTACTCGGCAATCTAGTCGACACTCGGCAGCGTGCCTTGTTCGAAGACCATAAGCTTGTCCATTGCTTTGATCTCCGGCGGCTCTACCCGGAACCGCTTGTGCCACGCCGCCTTCAGATCATCCCAGCTGATCTTGGTGTGCAAGTCGGCAGCTACCACTCCATACTTGGACAAGAGATTGTCCAACCATGCCTAACACGCGCCCCCCAACCGGGAGTATAAGTACGCGTGGTGCTTGTGTTCTTTGACGTAGTGTAGCTGCAGCGTGAGCTCGAACCTGCGGAACCATGAAATTGGATCTGTTTTAGTCGAGTCGCAGAAGATCTCCTGCCCGTCAAACTTTGGAGCTGTCTCGCGCGGTTCCGAACTCGAGTGGTTGGCGGCAGTGCAGATCCACTGTTCCAACTGTTGCGTTGCGGTCTGTTGTAATTGCATGCCATCCTTGAGGGAGCCGACGTCCATCTCCAATGCCTCGAGGCGATCGGAGGTGTTGGAAGAGCTTGCATCGAGGGCGGCGACAGGTTGCTGTTGCAGCTGCCGGAGGCGGCCGTGGACTTGAGTCAGCGTGTCGTCGAGGCTATGGATGTCCTTCTGCTGTGTAATGCATGTTGCCAGGAGGTCTGTGAGATGCGAGAGGAGTAGAGCAATCTTATTTTCCCTATCCTCCATCTTGCCATTCTCGGCCTCGGTCCGCCATTCCACTGCCATTGTGAGCAAGGTCTGCTCTCCGTTAAATATCTTCTCACGACGTTGAATTCTTTCTTCATCGGCAGCCTTTGCTGCTGCCTCGTCATGCTGGCGCTGTTGTTCAATTGCCAGCAGACGTGCCTGCTCGGCGTCCTCTGCCTTCTTCTTCACTGTTGTTGCTGCGTCATCTGCCCGTCCATTTGTTTCGGTACTCCAGGCGAGCATCCGGGCCTGATAGGCCTCGTCTGCTTCTCCGGATCTCTGGTCCATGACGGCTGTATGTGAACGCAACAGCATAGACCAGGTTAGGGCCTGCTGTATTCCCTGCTGCTGACGTGGCGTTGCTGTCGGCTGACGAGGCCTGCTGACGTGGCCTGCTGACGTAGTCTGCTGACGTGGTTTGCTGACGTAGTCTGCTGACGTGGCCTGCTGACGTGGCCTGCTGACGTGGCAACTCACCAATGGTGTCACAAGGGGTACCCGGAGACAGGTAGAGAAGGTAAGACTAGAGGGGGCAACAACATAGGTGGGGAGGGGTGGGTGGGATAATCGCCCAGATAACGCTCAGATAAGGAGCCACTAATCAAAAAAGAAAAGTTTGAACTTTGCAAAAAAAAATTCGAGAAAAATAAAAATCTCGAGTTTTGCAAGTTCAGTAGGTCTCCCAACCTTCCTTGAAGTGCAAAACTATCAATGAGAAAAAAATTTCGAACTTCAGACTGCAAATGATTTATAGAACTGACTAACAGAATCCTAGAACTGCGAAAAAAATTCTGAAAAGAAATCAAATATTCGGACTTACTCGGATGAGAGTATTCACAGTTTGGGAAATAATACCTGCAGGAGGGATTTCCCGTACCATTTTCAGAAAAACGAAATTTCGAAAAAAGAATATTCCGAATTTCCAAGTAACGGGAAATGCAACAGGAAATCGAAATTTTCGAAAAGAAGGATATTCCGGATTTTCAACAAAGAAATTTTGAATTAAAAAAAAAAAGAAGGAAATTTCAGATGTTGCGCTATTGCGATTTTCCACAACAGAAATAGCGAGAAAACAAAATCCAAGAAAAGAAAAAAACAATTCGATTTTCGGCAGTAAGGTCAAAATCGTGATTTTGGGGGCTAACTAGTGTGTTCTAATCAATCGATAAAGACTAATCAGCTACCTAGTCCCCGCACACGTGTCAGATCAGGTTGTCCTGATTCACGTGCGGCGTTCTGATACCAAGTGTTACATGCCCAGATGCGCGATGTACATAATAATGTGAGGATTGAGCCCTCAAAGGGGCCTTGCCGTGATGTGCATGTTCCGGGCTAAGGCCCCCACCAAGCCTCGTGCCCGCCCTAAGAGAAGGCGGGCCAACAAATCAATGAGAGCCCTTTGTTCAAACATTTCTCGAAGTGGGGTCCATACATTTGCCGCACGCCAGTTGGTTGGAGTGCACCGAGTATCGGATCTCTGCAAATGCAGAAATCCCAGGGCCTCAGAATTGGTTAGGCCCTGGGCACATAAACGTGAGGCCGACAATGCATGCTGGATATAGAGGCCGAAAATGCCAATGGGAAACCGGTCCACTACCTGAATCTGGACGCAGGCCTTGATGAAAGAGGCGCAACTGCATCTCCTGGGCCCCAACCGCATTGGGCCTGGGTATAGGTACTGGGGCCCAGGCGCAGGCTCAAGGGAGGCCGCCCACACGCAACACTGGCATATAGGCAGAGAGGGCGAGTGGGCAGGGATCTTGGCCATTGCGAGCAAGGCCGGCACGCTGCTGCATTGNGAGGCCGCCCACACGCAACACTGGCATATAGGCAGAGAGGGCGAGTGGGCAGGGATCTTGGCCATTGCGAGCAAGGCCGGCACGCTGCTGCATTGCGAGTGTGCTGCACTACGCTAGGCTGAGTGAGGGCAGGCTGGCGCTAAGCGGTAGAGCGCAGCCTGGGCGCAGGGCGCTGGCGGCCATAGTCGGGCTGCCTGTGGTCGCAGAGAAGGTGAAGGGCGAAGGTGGTTCTTCAGAGGTGAGGGGCGCTGTGTGGGATAACAAGGGAGAGTGAGGGTGAAGAGAAAGACGTACCTGGTGGAGAGGAGGTCGGCATTGGTGTTGACGTCATCACTCGCTGGTCGTCAAGTTGTCTGGTTGCTTCCATGCTGTAGTTGTAGTGATAGGCTGTAGAGTAGGTAGGGCGCCTGGCGCCATTCAAGAGAGAGAGCTACATTGGGTTATGCTGTTGGTGTTGCCCGATTGGGCTTGGACATTGACTCACGATTCTTCTGTATCGTTCTCAAATGGATGGTTACTCGGTTCCATTGTGCTATCTGCTCTTGCTATGACTACTTGGACTTCAGTGTGATTTTGCAATGTGGATTTCTGTGCTTCGTCCATACTCATGTTCCTTGCATTTTGGTATCAGAGCTGGTTCGATTCGCCACTTACCTTGGTGCGCTGGCGTTATACAGACTTGGTGCGTTGACGATGCTTCTTCGCAGTTGGTCCTTGTGACGTGAGGCCATATTAGGCGCATGACCTGGGTAGAGAGGTGTGCACTGGAAGGCTATACGGCATGGGATGTCGTGGTTACTGCGGAATGTATGGATTGGTGATGAGAGCATGCTGATGTGGCATTTAGTTGAGGTGGCACTGCATTGCGTTGTGGGTGGTACCGAGGCTACGACCGGTCATCAAATGCGCACTCTGCTCAATTGGTGAGAAATCTGTGGTTGGGGGCAGCTATCTCTAGGTACGTTGTTCACTTACCTTATCTACTCTCTCAATCTCTTCTTACCACGAGGAAGTGAGTCCAACTTGAGAGTCCTCTCTTTTGGTGAGGTGTCGTGTGCGCACTACCTTGAGAGACGACAATCTTCCCGGTGAAGCATCTGGAAGGAGAAAGGGCGGTGCCTCTGAAGGGCCCTGGTCGAAGCACATGGGTCACGGTCATCATGCCAACCCAATGGGATTATTACACGCATGAGATGGCTGCTTTGTCCATGAGGGCACTTTGCTGCGCTGATAGAGGGGTGCACGGACTGAACAGGCTTATGCAGACGCTCCCAGACCGTCTATAAACATTTCTGGATGCGGTTCCGATCTGATTCTGGCTGTGATCGTCGTCCTGATTGCGACGTTAAATAATTCCTGAGCGACCTTGGGGGCAGTCCTTAAATAGGCCTCTTGATCAGCCAGATCATTCGGACGTACGGCTCGTTGCACGCGAGGATAAAGAATGGGCAAGCCTGGTCATAAGCATGCACCTGGGGCACAGGGGTGGGCCAACATTGCACACCTATGACACTCTTGATGCTCATCGGTATGTTGGATTGAGGGGAGGGTAGATTCTAATTGGTGCTCAACTGCAAACACAACTATATCCTCTGTTCATACATCTGCAACATAGTTTAGTTTTATTGTTGATTAGTTGGTTGACAGACTGCTAACACCTAACACACAGTTTAGTTTAGGACTGTTGTATACTACCCTAGCCACTTCTATGCAAAACTTATGTAAGTGAACTGATCATGATACAACTAAATTATGTTGACAGTCTTTAGTGAATGTTGTAGGCTGCCACTTGATTGGTCAAGTAGGGGATCTGCCGGACACATTTATTTTTAGAAAATTAGGTGTCGGTCAGACACATGCTGTGGTAGGACTCTAGCAGGGAGTTGTAGTGCAGATAGTGTTTGCCTAACTGATGAGCGGGTTAGACACCGATGAGGGTTGAGTTGACGATGCGAGACTGACACGTTCAAGATCACTTAGGGTCCCGCACGTGTTTCAGACCTTACAACCGGGAGACGAAAGACGGCTTCGTGCCGAAAATAGAGCCTGTGCTCTCGCAGCAGCAAGGGAAACAGCACTAGCTGCAAGTCAGGCGTTGGCAGCAGCAAACGCAACAGCTAGAGAACAGGCAGCAGCAGCCAGAGCAGCAGCAATGGCTAACGGCGCAGCCTCTGCTGCGTCCTCGTCTGGGACCCAGTTGGGAATGCCCCCTGGGCCCACGGGTACTTTCGGGGCAGTAAGTTCTAGTCAGTCCACAAGTCAAATGGCGGGCTCGCAGTTAAGCCCGTTGATCCCACGCGGCAAGGAGCTCCTAGAGCTCCAGCAAGTCGAAAGGATCCGTGCTCGGTTAGAGAGGGAATTGAAACAAGCTACCGACAAAGAAAAAGAGATCAAAAATAGAACAGCCAGGCTTGATACGTTAGAGGCAGACAAAGCTGCATTAGAGGGTTTGGATGAGTCAACCATGTCTGATCAAATGAAAGTGTTGAAGAATAGCGTACTGTCGCTGCATGCGCATGTGGACAGCAGACTCGACTTCATGCATAACTCTTTGGACCAGATCTTGGACCTTTTGCAAAGGCCACGACTAAGGCCAACAGCACAGTCGCCGTTACCGTTAACGACGATGTCAGGCCCCTTTCCAGTACAAGCTGGCACACAGCCAAGAGGTACGTCTGCAGCAGCTGCACAGACTGTTGCTTCTTCTTCTTCTGGGTCAGCGGTGATAGCTACACCATCACCGCAACAACCTGTTCCTATACAAGGACAGCAGCAAGGTCAATGGTACCCTAAGACCCCTATGAAGCCGCCCCTTGCCTTCTCCGGAGAGAAGAAGGACGAGGAACTCAACACATGGTTGAGAACGGTTCCAGTGTGGGTAAGGGCAAAGAGGACTATGCAGGAGGAGGAGGTGATTACTGTTGCATCTTACCTTGAGGGTAAGGCAGCCAAATGGCTGGATGGATTAGTAGCAAAGGCCGGGTACGGACGACGCATGGCGGACTGGGCTAAGAGCCTAACGTTAAAAGAGTTCTTAGACATGGTAGAAGCTCGCTGGCATAATCCACAGCAGGCACAAATTGCCACTGATGCGATGCTCAGACTAGACCAACAAAAGTACAAGTCAGTCAGAGAGCTAACGTCTACCGTAGAGAGCCTCATCGTCGTTCCCGGCATACGCTATGATGACCAGGTCTTATTGACCATGTTTGTGAGATGTCTTCCAGAGAATCTCAGAAATTTGCTGGCCAGCGAGGCTCGCCTCGAGTATCATTCCTTTGAGACCTTCTCTAGAAAGGCCTTAGATTTAGAGGCTACTCTAGGAAGTGCTCAGCCTACTCCAGTAGACGGGAGGAAGAAGAAGAGTCTACAGGAGTGGAAGAAGAAGGGGAGTTGATTGATGATGGTTGAGTCTGATGGGACCCAAACTGAGATCGAGGAGCTTTCAGACCTGTTGGACAGTATAGAGTACGACGGCGAGGAGACCGTTGAGGGTAGCACCCTCGCCGCAGTTGTAAAGACTAAGGTAGGTGGCCGAGGAAAGGGCCATCAAAAGAGTCAAGGGCAGGCCGCCTCGAACCAGACCAAAGTTGCTGATTGGGTCAAGGCAGGCCTTGATCAAGAAGTGTGGCGGGACTGTAGAGTGCGTGGTGCTTGCATCAATTGTGGTGCTTACGGACACACCCAATACAACTGCAAAAACGCAAAGGTCACGCAGAAGATACCCCCTAAGGGAGGGGTACCTTCTTCCCAGGCTTCTAGCTCAGGAAACATGTGAGGCCGGTGGAAGTTTTAGCTGCTTCTACTCATGGTGAAGTGGGCCAGATACCCTCCCCACTTCATGAGAAGTCCATAGCGAATGACTCTTTAGTCACCCTGCAGACTCATCCTGACCAAACTATGCTCTGTACGTTGGATGTGTCTAATGCCTTAGAAGATTTAGAAAGTGAGTGGTCAAGCAAGGACCCTCGCGAATCTTGGGTGGCACTAGGAAGGGTTCCTAGAGGGGAACATTTCGTTGTGGAAGTTGTTGTAGGAGACCGCAAATGTGGTGCCTTCATAGACATCGGCTCCACACGGAATTACATAAGTCGCGACTGTTTGGAAAGGCTGCACCTAAAGGACCGGGTACAACACCGTAGTATAGACCAGTAGCATCTACTTTGGCCAATAAGGACGCATGGTAGTCACAGACTATGTCAAGGATGTAGTCTGTACCTTCTCCTATGGAGGAGGGGAACTTGATCATAAGATTTTGTTCCTTGTTAGCGATGACTTACCATTTGACATGTTGTTAGGAATGTACCACCTTAAGGTTGCCAAGCCCTAGTTTGATTGGGACAAGAAGGTGCTAAAGCATAAGTTGCCTGATGGAAGTACAGTGACACTGACTAAGTTCAAAGCCAGTAGTATAATCAATACCTATGGCTGCTTATGTGCATCAGCGTTCTATAATTACTATTAACAGAACCAAGAGGAGGGTATGTACCTGGTATATGTTTCTGAGAAAGGGGAGGCCGTTAAAACACCCCCAGAGATAGAACACGTCGTTGCTAAGTTCCCTGATCTGTTCAAAGAGCCCACAGGAGTCGTAGAGAGGGAGATTGTCCATGCCATAGAAATCATTCCAGGCAGTAAAACCCCAAAGGGAAGGACCTATAGGATTGCTCCGGCCGAGTTGGACGAACATCGGCGACAACTGAAAGAGCTAATAGAAAAGGGATGAATTCGGCCGATTACTTCCCCCTTCGGATCTCCAGTGCTATTTGTACCGAAGAAGGGGGGTACATTGAGGATGTGCATTGATTACAGAGTCCTCAATGCCATCACTGTGAAAAACGCAGAGCCTCTACCTCGCATAGACGACTGGATAGGGTGCAGGGATGTAAGTACTATAGCAAGATAGACTTAAAGTCCGGCTACCATCAGATCGCAATAAGACCTGAGGATCAGCACAAGACTGCTTTTCAGACCAGGTACGGTCTGTATGAGTTTGTAGTGATGCCCTTTGGTGTTACATGCTGAGCCTGACACACGGGCCCATTTTTGGGCCCGACGGTTGTTGAGGGCCCCTAGGCCGCGCGCCTGTTCCAAGATCGCGACCTGGAGGCCCACGGCCATTGGACAAGCCGTAGGTACAGATTTGAGGCACCAGTCATTTATTTATTTATTCCTTTACTTATGTGTGTTGTTGTTTGTCTGTTCTATTTTTGTTTGTTTCAGGTGACGTTTTGGACTTGCAGTTCGTCCGAACAGATCTACGATCTGTTCGGACCAAGGCCACGTTTTTGGCCTCCTCCATTCGTAGCCAGGCCCTTTTAGGCCAGGTTCGCGTTGTCTGGTAGCAGACACCCCCTGTTGTATCAGCAGGGA